GCATGTGCGCACACACACACACTCACACTCACACACACACACACACACACACGCCGCCCCTGCAAGCATAATATAATTGGACAAAGATTTGAAATAACGGCATCTCCCAGTGGAGAGATAGTTTTTCTCCTGGCAGCGGTGAATTGATAATCCGCTCTGTAAAATACTCCTGGGGTCTTCACTCTCATGTGGAGCTGTTACTGAATTGGTAGAGGCAGCATTCAGGGCAGCAGCACTCAATTCTCCATATCTCACGCCGTCTAATCCTAATTGCCCATGGCTGCAGGGCCACAAAACAGCAACATGCCAATAACACAATTAATTATATGACACAAGCTATAATTTATTTGCTACAGTATCCACAAATCTTAAACACTTTGCGGCTGCAAGGCTGACTTGAAAAGTTTTGCTCAATAATCTGAGACTTTTTCTCCTCGGATCACTGATGTAATGTTGCACTGTCATGACAACAAAGCTTACTTGCCTCCACGATAATCTGTGGAAATGGTTGCCATGTGGATTTCTCTCCTTAGAGACCATTTTTATCATCCCAACTTAAAGAATGATCATTTTATTTGACTTGACTGGAAGAGAAAGTTGAACATAAGCTACTAAGAGGAAGCAATAACTATAAATTCAATACACTACAGTTGAATTTACTCTATTGGAGAAGTGAAGGAGAAAAAGGATGAGTGGGAGGAGGTGAAAGACCCATCTCTGGCGAAGAGCCAAAAAGCATCCCTGTCCATTTTTTCCACAGGTGTAATTAGGTGTGCATCCGGACAACAGTGAGAATGAGAGCAACACTTTACACACTAAATAAGGCAGGGCACACAACCTCTGAGTCGACAGCCCCTCATGATGGAGGGTCTGTTGAAGAGGAGTGATAGTGAAGAAGCTTCCCCAGCGGAGAGTGGCCCAACAAACTGGTAATCCTTTTGCATTGTGAGATGAGATACTGTAGTTAGCCAAGTGACCTTGGCTCTATGTGAGAAGGATATTGCCAGAGGGCTGTACGCCTCATGCTGGGAGATATTGCTATTTGGCGCACAGATACTGCAGCTGAAGCCCAGCATGCATAGCACTCTCAGTGTAAAAAAAACAAAAAAACAAAAAACACATTCTTGAGAGAGTCTTTTATTCTGATGTTCCACATTGTATGCCGTATAGAACATGTTTTTTAATATTTGTTGTTATTTCACTGGAAATTATTATTTTCCATCCGTTACCATTCTCTCACAGTGAAAACAGTCCAGATTTTTTTCCACTGTGAGGATGTTCAAAATGAGCCAAAACTACAGCCCCAGATATTGAAATTGATTTGTTTAACCTGCCAATCAGTGTATCAACATCAAGCATGGAAAAAAAACTGCTGGCAATATAATATAAATTGAATACCTTGAACCCTTTTTTTGCAAGTATTTTTAATATCCAGCTTTCTCATAAAGATTGGTCACACAAGGATTCAGTACACTGAAGTCATTGCAATTCCAATACATTGCAGATTTTATATATTCCTGTGCCTTGGGACACTTTGGTCCGCATTAGTGGCTTGAGTCAAGATTAAAAATATTGTCTTGGCTTCTAATCTATGATGTCTAATGGAAAAATAAAATGATGAAAACGCTGACTGCCAGCTGTACTGTTTTTCTGGCAAACATACTCACTAATTCACGACTGATAGACATAATAAAAAATGAAACTCATTTGAAGTTACAAATCCTGACAAAGTTTGAGACCACAAAATCTATCATCCATTCATTGTTAATTGAACATCTCCAGGCTTGCATTTGGAGAGAATTGTTAATGTTCACAGTATTGATTGGCCTGTACTGGGCCTTCAGAGTAACATTGGCAGCGCTGCAGAAAGTGCACAAATCCAATCTTGCCCCTTTTTTTGTAATTACGAGCTGACATTATCCCCTACATTAAAATTTCATGACCTGGGGACAAAGGCATGCCACTGAAAAATAAATCAGCTGAGGTTGTCAATCGACAAACGAACCAATTAATCTAAATTCCAAAGACTTTTGCAAAAGTAACCTTCAAAGCAACTTTGCCATAAACATAAAGTCTTCACTGACAGTTTGCAAAACCCCTCCTTTCAGCAGCAACTGTCCTGTCAATCTTTGCTCAGCAACTGTGGCAATAGCAGGCTTGCCAAGCTTTGGATTTCTCCACGTTCTGAAGCAGTGTGCACAGGGGCAAGAGTAATACTCAACTGGTGACTTTGGTGGGTGGCGTCTTTTTTTACCCTTTCCAAAACGAAAAAATACAAAAGCAAAAGTGTAAGCTGGACATAATAATTCTCTGAGCTGCAAACATTAGCATATCCATCTAACTTACAACCTAAAGTACAAACTGAGCACCACCTCCAGGGCCCAGCGGCACATCATTAACTAACTACATTTGTATGCTGGGTTACAGGTTATGTTGGAACTAGTTGAACAGCTGTGGAGGCTGAGAATGGAAAATACAATTATTTTTTCAATGCCATAATGTAATTTAATTAATGGGTAATTTATCTCAGTAACATTTTATTATAACCATCATTAATAAACACTAAATTAATAGTTATTTCACAAATAACTGTAAAATGATAATGTATAATGTTTACTAATTATGCTATAAGAGATGTTATTTTATGTTTGTGTACTATAAAATAATTAGTTCATGAATCAAAATTAAATCATAGCTGACGAGAGAAGACAAAAATTACATCCTGATTACATTATTTTATCTGATTACAAACCAGAAAACAATAACTCCATAAAATATCCAGATCGGAGTCCTGGTTGGAGCCGCTGTAAATCACCTCAGCAGATGCACTACACAGCAGGTATTAATATTCTACAGCATATTATAGACATCAGTTGCAACTTTAATAATTTTAATAATCTAAACTTTAAAAATAACATGTTTTCTTTCCAGAAATGCATGAAACACTGAGATATAAACCTGCTGTATATATGTATTAAAAATGTTTTCTTACACACTTTAAAATCAGGAAGGCCACACGACCGCCCCCTGGTGGAGGTCGGGACCCCCAGGTTGGGAATCAGTGATGTAGGCTATGTACCCATTAAACGCATAACACCCCTTTTTACCAGATTCTCATTTTAAAACAAGTGAGCTGGAAATATTTAAAGTCAGCCAGAGCATTTTCAGCCAATTCAAGGCAATAAAATTAGCTTAATTATCGAGCTAACTACAGATGAAAAGATCTGCTAGTAACAGTTGATATTTTAGCCAAAATATTGGTTGCTGATTAGAAATGAGAAGCACAATTGTCTGAAATCAAGTGCTAAATCTGCCTTTTTTTTATCACTGTAAACTGCATGTGTGCTGTGAGAGGTGTAACAAAGGGAAGGGGCTCAACAAACATTTGCAAACTGATTTCATACAAGCGTGATTTAAATTAGCCTAATTTGCTCTGTGATGTCCCCAACAACTCCAGAGAGCAGGATTCCTAGTTCCTCTTTATATTTTAATAGAAAATTGCTACATTTGGTGCAAAAACACCATGGCAACAAATGCCATCATATCCACCACCATTACCACCAGATGTTGCCAAAAGCAAGAAAAAAATAGATTTTAGGGTGCATCACTGTAAATCCGTCTCTATTTCCATTGCCCTACTCGCAGTTAACCATGTTGTCTGCAGCTCCTTACACTCTCACACACTGTATTCCCACCAGCCTCCTACACACACACACACACACACACACACACACACACACACACACACACACGCACACACTGCCAGCAGCCATCATTCCACCCTGTATGTTCAGCTGGCCTGTCAAGTCCCCATCCAGCCAAGTGCTCACCCATCTGTTGAACCTAAGACAGCATGCAAATCTCAACCAGAGAGGAAATGTTCTATCAAATGATGAACTTATCTGTATGCAAACGTTGGCTTTCCAGGGGCCTCTGGGGTCCAGGGCCTCAGGGTGTGCTGCGAAAGTGCGCGTGCATGTACCTCCTTGCAATGCAAAGTAACACTGACACAAGATACAGCCATGCACTTTTGTTTAAGCTATTTCCATTTACGTACAGTATGCTCTTTTTGCTTTAAAGTGCTTTAAATTACTCACAGGTTAATCTGTTTTGTTCCTGTGTGCATTCAGGAAATATCTTGAGCTGCAGGTTTATTTGTTTTTTGAAGGAACTGTATCTCATTCTTTCGGCAAGTCAACTTCAATCACGGAGTCTCGAACTTTGTAAGGACACAGGAATAATGTGTTTATTTACACTCTCTGTGTTCAAACTCTTTTAGGCATACGCTTTTCTGATTGATAAAGGCTGACAGAAATAATTAGTTACTGACATTTTAAATCAACCCCTTGCTGAGGATTTAGTGTGAATGTTGCCAGTTTTCATAAAGCAGCCACATCCTATACAAAGCACTAAATGCTTTCTAGTGGCCTGGGGGGGGTAAAAGTAAGCAGTCACCTAGCCAAGGGCATAAATCCGACCAACAGGTCTCTGCAGGCCTGAGGCTATTATGGCTGAGTGAACTTTATCTTGGGTGAGTTCACCTTGCTCAGACTCACTGCAGTTAAGCTACCAGTCACCTCTATTATCCAATTAGCCTGCTGCACTTATGGAAACAAGCTGCACTGATCCTGTCAGCAAATTTAGAAGTCTACAAATATGTTATGGATCAAAGATTGTGTTAGTTTTCCCCACAGGGACGTTACAGGAAGAGTACAGAGCGCATGTGGAATTTTAGATTTATGAATCAAAAGCTTGTAAGAGCCACTTATTAAGTGTGTTTAATAATATAAGACCATTACAACTGCAGTAAAAGGAGCGGATGCGAGATATTAAGGTGGCCCATAAAGGCAGATTAATTCTTTATTAGTGCTTATTGTTTCATTCCTGCAGCCATAAGCTGGAGGCTATAGCAGCAGGACCTGGGGACGCATGCCAAAAAAAAAAAAAAAAAAAATCCTGATGTGAGAGTGTGTGAGTGAGGATGCTGAGGGGCGTAGCAGTGTTGTGCCCCTCATGGTCAGCGCTCAGGAATTAAAATGCATGCTCTCTCTCATTGCCTGGGAGCGAGTAACGGCGAGGAGAAACTATTCCCATCCTCCTCCTTCGCAGAAAAACGCACGGATGCGTGCGTCTTGTTCCAGCAGGGCAGAGCACTCGCGGTGTTTTCACGTTAAAAAAAAAAAAAAGATAGCTGTGATGTGGTGTGAGGTTGCCAGTTTGGAGCTTGTTTTCTCCCTTAAATTGGGACCCTTCAAGCTGTGACGGGGCTGATTTGCTCGCGTTTCGCTCTCCGTGGAGCTGCCGCCACACCGCACGGAAATAACGGGACTTCACTCGCAGCCCGGGCTCCACTTTGAGTGAGTATCCAGACACAAGGCATGCTTTTAACCCTACAGAGCGCACTAGTATCACCTTATATCCTAATTATAGCTTTTAATCTCAGTTCCTTAAAACAAAGCAGCGCACATGAAGGCTTAAAGTCCCTAAGTGCTGCCGACCAGGTGTTGCACTGCAACTTTCTTCTGCAAAAAAGAAATATTAACGCTTGGGTGTGTAATAGAAAGCAGCAGCATGCTTCTGTTGTTTAAACCACACCAGGAGATTTATAAGAGTAGTTGCCAGTGCTTATAATTTCAGTCATAATTCATACCCCTGCTTTTCAGGTTTCAGTGTGCGCATATTTCTCTTGATTTTCTCCTGTTTTCAATCAGCCTCCAGCCCACACTGTAGTGTCACGTTGAGAAAAAGCAACTTCTTCTTTTTGAGAACTGGTTCTGGTTTCTTGGCTCTGTGGTCGGGCTCAGCTTTCTGACTTAAAAAAGACTATATAGCATCCACTGTGTTCAGCTATGGACCAGGCTAAAGCAACTGTTGAATATACAGCAGATGTGCAGTGGAGAGGTATCACATTACAGTAGGTGTGTTTGTCTGGTGTCCTGGAAGCAGCCTCATTAAGTAAAACAGCAATTTCCTCTGACAGAAATCCTTTTAATTTGTTGTAAACATTAATCACTCTGTTTCATTGTCAGCGTAATATCCCAGAGTGAGTAAACTCCTGGTTTATGGGTTATGAGTTTTGAAATGATCCTCTCTGTTGTGTATTTTGTGTGAGATGTCACCTCATTTACTAATGAAGGTGTCTGCGGCGCGCTGGTTAATTTTCCACTGAAACCTCTCCACGCCATTATAAATAATAAGCAAGTGGAATACATTAGCTCAGCCGGCTCCTCATCACGTCTCCAATCAGATTGGATGGCGTGACCTTGGGGGACCGGCGCTGCAGTATTTAGAGAGGAGGGTGGCAGAGATGGAGATGGGGTGCTCTGGTGGCATCCATTATCAAGGAACCCAATTACATCTGGAAATTGTGGTTGCCATAAGCAATTGCCATTTGTTACACTGTGAAAGACAGAGGAGCTATTCTGAGAGAAATGTGTAAATGCATTTCAGCCAGTCTTCAGTGCAGACCTTCTCATCTGTATATACGTTTTAATTCAAAAGATCTGTGTGATTCCTCTGGAAGGAAGTCCTTTGTGGGCTCCTTTTAACAATGGAGCATGGAAGGAGCAATGAGTCAGTGTGAATCATGGCAACTCTCACCAGCTGCCAGCCAGATGAAGACATGCTGCAATGAAAAGTCTGATGAAACTGCAGTTGTGCTGCTGTTTCCACTTCAAAGCACGCCACGGCGAGCAGAAACGTATATCGTTCCACGAGGGCGCCTAACATCTCATTCAAAGTTTGTGCAAGTTTCTCTCACAATCCAACTTCCAGTTTTAAGATCTTTCCTGCGAGGTATATCCTCCTAGTCCTTAGCTGCCGCGGCGTGGAGGCTGAGTTAAGTCAGCGTGGGCTTTACTGTAATCAGTTATTCAGCTCTGGCATTCAGACTCTGCTCCAGACAGAGGAATCCCCGTGGCTCACCACAGACCCAATCAGACCCTTTAAGTACGCGGCTTTCCAACAAGGTCTGGGACCAAGACTGCAGCGGCAACGGCAGAAATGTTTCCAGTCCCTCGAGGGGTGGTCTGCATGTATCTGCAGCATGTACAAGTATATTTCACTAACAGTCAGTGTCTTTTGTGCAGGCCTCTCGGCTCAGTCACAGACAGTCTTTTTCCTTCACAGTATTCCCCTTGGACTTCTCCCTGGCTTTTTGATTTGCCCTCTGTTTCCACTTAACAGTCCTGGCTATTTTCCAAGAAACACCTCAGCACCATTCTTTTTTTTTTCTTTCCCCCAAGCATGAGCAGACTTCTTAAACTCTGGGCACACATGGAAGAATACATGGCATTTACTCGATGTGAGCATTTATAAAACGACATCTTACTGTATCCTGGCTACATTTAACTCACTTTGTTATCGCAGATGAATGCAAAAATGACTGTTTAAAGGCAGCTGCCTCCGCGACAAAGTGAGCCATCCTCTGATTGCTGTCTTAATCTTTCCCCAGCGCAATCAGCGACGTCGAGACTGCACATCACTCCGGCAATTAGGCTTGTCAAATTACTGCGTGGCTTTTATCTGCGGACCGCTTGTTTGATAATACTTATTGGCAGGTGCCTTTGGAGGAGCAGAGGCAGGGACTCCACAGCTGGCGCATTTCAAGAGGGACGGATGCATTATGTAAAACCATACTGTACTGTGCAGCAGATGTTTCCTCCTTCTGATGGCTAGCTCAGCAACATAACCATACATCTCCATATCACAATATCCTCAGGAGCCACCCCCCCAAAAAAAAAGATTTTGATGGACACACGCCACATCCTTGACTTTCATCATTTTGTTGTCAAGCTGAGCCGTTCTCCACAAATGGTCCCCTCGCTGTCCTAATCGTGTTCTGGTACAACGGGTTAGGCTGAGACCATCACTCCGTCAGCACAGTTTGCCTAAGTGTCATCATCAATGTAAAGAGTCTTTTGTAGCTTTTATTCTGCTTGTAGTCATGTTGACAGGTCTGCAGCTTCTCCGACCCTGTCAGGAAAGATGCCTTTATTCTTTGCTCAAACAGAGACTTGCCTATACAATATGTATGCTCTCCATACACTCTGTCTCTCTACAAGGCTTTGCTCAGGATTAGCTTTAGTTCCTGCATGTTTTTTTTGTTGTTGTTGCTTTGTCCTCAGTAGGATATTATTTGGCAACTAAAAAGGGTAAAAATAAAAGGATTTTGTGAGTGGGCTTGACATGCATCCTTTCTGTGGGTTTATGTGAAGGAAAAGGCTAATTGTTATGCCTCGGAGGTCCATTGTTAATTAGAAGTTATCTCGGGCAGCTCTCACATGGTCACCGCTCTAATTGGCAGTCAAAGCTGTGTACCACCTGGCCTAGCCTTTAACTCACCAGGTGCTCCCAGCAAAAACCACCGGCCTTGGCATTATGTGGGTATGGCCCTCTTAAAAGGAGACAGACAGCGAAAGAGAGCGAGAGAGAGACAGAGGTAGGGAAGGAGAAGAAAAGACACTCAAGTGCGCCTGGCCAACTTCACTAAAATGGCGGTGCAGCAGTAAAAGGTTATTTCATGCTACGTGGCTAAACAGGCCTTTTGAAGCTGGCATGAAAAAAAAAAAAACACAACTGAGAAATTAGTGGAATCTTTTGATGCACACGTCTTCGTACACCACACCTCTCTGTTTCAGATTTCTAATACCACAGGGGATTTGATGTGGCAGCACATCAACACACAGCCTGTGTAGGTTTGTTTGCCTGTGATTTGTGGGGAAAAAAATACGTTTAGCCTGTGACTATGAACAATAGCTGGTGTGAGAAAGGCTTTTAGTGTTTGTTGCAGCATCTGTGAGGTGATTTAAGGATGATGGGACAATCGTGTGAGTCCTTTTTGCTATTCGTGGGGATGAATGTAAAAAATCGATTCAAGCAAAAGATTTTCACTCTAAAACTGAATCCACATTAAGTCTTTTATTCAGCACAGTTATAACACTGAGCAGTAAACTGTGTGGGAAAAGGCAGTGATTTAATCAAGAGATAGTGCAGCTGCTTTTCACAATGAACTGGAGACTCACACCAGGAACTCACAGAGTAGCCTGAATAGTGTGAGATTCCTCTACATGTACATGATTGAGAGTTGTGTTGCTATGGATGGAAATTCACCCATGACCCTCTTAAATCTCAACTAACTGTTCCTAGCCCACGTGAATCATAATGTTTTGTCCTTTCAAAAGGCCAGACAGGTGTGTCCTGTGTATGATACAAACAAAAAATGTGCCTTGCATTGCCATGCTCCTGGTGGACAAAAGACCTTTGTCTTTTCTCATCACATAGTCAATAGGGCTGTTTTGTGTTGCCGCACAAGCATCTAAAGTTCAGTCTAATTCCCAAATGTGTCATCCCTTTGTTCTCTGATCACAATGGGAATCTGAAATGTAAAGCGGATTTAGACAATGTACTATATCTTGATAGGTAGAGCAGAGAGAAATGCTTAAAAATGCTTTGTAACTGTGTTGTGTTAGCAGCCCCAGGCAGAATGTGTTAACGTGGTACAGCGGAGCAGAGGATGATCTGGATCTGTGTGTGATTTGTGGTTGTTGCCATTTATTTTTCCAGGAACCGTTGTGTTTAGGCCCAGAGCCTTGGCAGCATGTGTTGTCTGCTTTCAACCTACAGTACATATACAATATGTTACCCAAGAGAAATGAGTTATTTTCAGCATACCCAGCTCATGTTAAATCAGAAATTCAGAAATTAACAATAAGTAGTAGCTAAGTTGCAAAAGACAATTAAAACATAGCGGTATATAGAATAATTGACAAGCCACAAACAGTAATAAAAACAGCAGACTGCCTTATAGAGACTAATCATAATAAACAGGCCTATCCCTGCTATAATTACTGACAGTAGAATCATTACTTCCCCTAATGCTCTGCTGCTACCATCGTTAATAACAGTTCATTAATTAAACATACTATGGAAAACAGCAACTCCGTTCTCTGAAAAGGACTTCTCCTTGACTGGACCCAGGGAGGCACAGAGTGTAGTCTAATTTTGCTCTGGAGGTCATTCCAGGAATAATGAGCGGGAGAAATGTAAATACTCCTCTTTGCTTAACTGCCGGGGCACTTAGAATACCTGAGACAAGCCAAATTTGAGATTTAGCCACATAATGAGCTGCTTATTTGAATACAAGCAGGAGCAGAGTGAAAAAGAGGCTTTAATGGTTTGGCAAAAAAAGGAAGTTTTTTTTTTTTTTTACGAGTGAGGTACTGTAACATAGCTTTAACTGTGCATTTTCTTCCTGTATTTCTTTTGAAAAATGCAAAAAATGTTTAGACATCTAAGTTATACACCAGTTATAGGAATGATTTAAAATTTTTTTAATTACTTGTTTGGTTTGAGTGAGATGAGAAGGTCAGTATCAATTGTGTCTGCGTGTTAAGTACAAAGCTGGAGTAGGGTGACACTGCACAAGAGTAGCCTACTGGGCTGATTTAAATAGCTCCAAGATTTCTCCTAAAATCACAAAATCTGGTTTTTACATTTCTGTAAACTTCCAGACTAAACAAATAAAAGCAATTGTGGAAATTGGTGTCCCAGCTACCTGTTTCTAGTCTTTACGCAAAGCTAGGCTAACCGCGTCCTGACTCAAGCGCCGTACTTAAACAGGTATTGACATTTTTAGGCTACTTCGGGGTAGCAGAAAACGTGTTAGCAAACAGTGGCTATGGAGCAACATTAGCATTCACTTGGAGTCTTGTTTCTGGTGACTCGGCAGTTTTAAGTCCAAATTAGTTTTTAGCTCTGTTGGAGTGAACTGTCTGGCCCCTGAGCTGCTAAATGCTCCACTATATTCACTCACTGGTTGTTAACTCTGTCGTTTGATGCTGGGAAGATAGCATACATCAGGCATTTTGAGCTTTTTCGCCAAAAACAACACTGAACAGTAGCCAGTGGGCTGTAAAACTAAAACAATGAACCAAAAGATGCTAAAAGGCTCCACAGAGCATGAAGGGAACTGCAGTCGTGTCATAATCCTCTGTGGGCTATCACTGCCAGCAACCCTTTTTTAACCTTTAGTCAGTAACCTGTAGTCATGGTTATGATTGTTAATATAAAAACATTGATCATCGCTGCTTTAATGCACAGATAGGAATTTTATTGAGTTTTTCATTTCAGTCTCAGGAATAATATTTCCTTTAATGTTGAACTGTTCCAAAAACCTATACCTCTACATCTTACATACACATCCACATTGAGTCAATTTCTTGCATTGAAATTGTATTATTCCTAATCATACTGAGAGTTTACCATGGCTCCAAACTGCTGAAAACTGTCAAATTAGTGTTATGTTTTAATACACTGAATAATGTTTCTGTGCACATAGTAGTTGGGTACTGTGCCAAAACATCCAAAGAAAGTCCTTGAAACACATCAGAATGAGCGCAGGTCTTCATCAGAGCACCACACACATGCTAGTCGGCTTCTATAATGGTTATGAATAATTACTGTCTTCAGTAATTCTTTAATCAGTATTGGAAATGCATCTGGCTGACTTCTGCATGGATATAGTACCATGGATATCACAAGTCCACAGGCTCTGTCTAATTTTCTAGTTTTATTGCCTCGAAGGCTGAAATGAAAGTCTATTAAAATCTTACTTGATTTTTTTCCATTTTCATTCGGATATGCTGAAGTAACTAGCAAAAGGTAAAAATGAAAGGCAGCTAATTTCTGACAATGTATTAAAAATGGAAAGCGAGAGCTCCTGGTTATGTAATGGTGAACACCCTGCACTTATTCCTTTGATAACAACCGTGACCCTTTTCGATGAGTTTCTACCATCTGTGTTCATCTGAATCTAGGATTTATCGCCCTTTTCCCTCCTCAGACTGCTCACTTCTCTCTGGATCCATCCACAGAGTTTGTGAAGTCCACGATAGAGATCTTCCCTTTGACTCAGCTGGTGGTTGATTTGGTTCTGTGCGCTTTGGTTTGCCGTCAGGTTGAACGATGGAATTTTTCTTTGACTTGAGCACTGTGTTTTTGTTCCAGAGGGCACCAGGTTCCCCAAAAAATATCTTGACATTTGGAGCCATTTATCACTCCCTCTGTCCTGACCAGATCCCCTGATCAGCCTTGTAGCATTCGCAGCACCAGCACACTTAAAAAAATGCTAGTTTCATTTACAGTTAATGATTGATTGCTGGTGACTGGAGTTTACTCACCCCAGTCATTCTGTAATGCATGCTTCTTTTTTTTTAGAATATCTAGCTCTGTGTGTAATCATTCATTTGTTTTACCACCCATTTATTCACTTTTCCATGACTGTGTCCTTAGGGGTTATTAGGAGGCATTGAACTGTCTGCAGATGACACCCTGAACCAGGGTCATTCCCTCAGCTCCTCTTTGCAACACTGCTGAACTGTGTAAGGTGATTGGTGTCTGTGGCATTGTGTGTCCTTGTTTAACATTTATTCATTTTTCATTGTGTTTAAAATATGGTGGCAAATGTACGGTAGCTTCATGGCAGACTACGATCCCTATTGGACTAAATATTTAATAGTACAATCTGGATTTGAGTGTAATTTTCAAACCGTAACAGTTTTAATTGGTGACTTACATAAATAACAAGCTAACAGTGTCCCAGCAACCTGTAGCAATTAAAAGGTTGTTTATCTCACCAGTCATAATGACAACTGTCAGCTGTAAATTTACTCAGCTATACTAAATTAATGTTAATTATGTAAGTTGGCAAACGAACAAAAGAAAAGTCTTAGCTGTTTTCTGGAAAAGAAAAGAAACAGTCCGACACAACCTCCCACAAAACACTTGAGTTTTTGTACAAATTAAACAAACAAGACGTTTTAAAGGTTCTGGTAGGCAGATTTTTAGACTAGGGCTGTGTATTGGAATGAATCTGGCAATATGATACATATCACAATACAGGCAGGGGTTATGATTCAATATATCACAATATATCGTGAGACTGGAATCAAGCAATTTATTGTGATATTTCTTGAATCTAATTTTTGGAAAACGTTCAACTCTTTGGAACACCGGCATATGCATAAAAGTTAAAAAGTTACTTTTTTAACAGTGAAATCGGCGTTTGTATTCATCACAATCCCTCCACCATCACAGCCTCAGTTTACATTTACAACACTGCTATCTGCTATGTTCGGGGTTTAAACACAAAAATCGATACGTTTCTGAGAATTGAAAAACAAAACAAAAGATTGCGATACTCAAGTGTATGGATACCCCTACTTTGGACTGAGCCAGGCTAGCTGTTTCTTCCTGTTTCCAGTCTTTATGCTAAGCTAAACTAGCCCGCTGTTGGCTGTAGCTTCATATTTACTGTACAGATATGGATGGTGGATGGATGGACCTTACTTTACGCGCCTTTCTAGTCTTCCACCACTCAAGCGCTTTTACACTAGTGCCACATTCACCCTTTCACACATTCACTCGTGATGGCAAGTCCATCGAACAGAAACTAACATTCATACATTCACACACCGTGCACGGCATGGATCGGGTTCGTATCTTGCTCGGATACTTCACATTGGCACCGAGCTGGGGATTGAACCCACAACCTTCCAATTAGGAACGACCCGCCTGCCTCTGAGCCACGCCCGAGATATAAGAGTGGCATTGATCTTCCCTTATAACTCCCGGCAAGAAAGCAAAAAAAAGTGTATTTCCCAAATTGCAAAAAAATATTGCTTTAAGCACATCATATCATTTTAACGGTTCACCTGTAAATTAAGACCCTCAGGATCCAGAGCCGTGAAGCAGTCTGTGTGAAGCTAACACTGACGTTAGCTCAAGCAGCTACTGTACAGTGCAGAGCTTTCGAACATATTATTATCTATTGTCCATCCAATATTAAAACACTTTTAGATGTGACTTATTAGCATAACTGGCCAACTATACAGCTCTTATCAATAAATATCACCACTTTTGAATGACGTTTCATTGATTTTAAAATGTCTTGTAGTATTTATAAATGTTATTGCTTACTGGTATACCCCCAATGTAATATCTTTATAGATGTGAGGTGTTTGCTGTTTTCTTTTGTTTGTTTGTTTTTTTTACAGAAAACTAGTCAAGTTGACTGGGAAGTTGACTTTTCTTTGACTAACTGGTTTGAATCCCTGCGAGGACCTCAACAACAAGCATTATTTTATTTTCACATTCATTATGCTTGGTACAAAATGCATCTTATTTAATACTCTGTAGGCTACAAATACAGGCCTGGAGTTTAATAAAGTCATAGTACAATAAAGATCATTTTTTGATTCATTTCAGAATTATCAAAAACTCAAGTTTTGTCCGCCCCTAAGATGCCTTTCCACATCATCTCGAGTGCATCTTCTTGCATAATTAAGATGAACTGGATGTTATTTTTAGGGGAAAGTGGTGTGTGTCTTGCCACCTGACCGCACAGCCCAGAAACCTTGCAAACATGCAAATGAGCTCTTATATCCACGGAGTTGGAAGACTCAAGCACACAGTGTGCACTGCTGTTGTTAATATTGCTGCTGGTCTCTTTGCTCCCCTGATGAGCTACTTTCTGCACAGTCATTCATCTCAGAGGAAACTCCTGATCTGGGTGAGATCCCGCTGCTGTATTACCTCCAATCTGTGATTGCAGTTTTCATTGTGTTTAACGGACTTAGAAATCTCCATGTTTCCCTCTTTTTATCTCAGCTTTTAAGGGTGTTTTCACACCTAAAAGTCCGGACCAAGGTCCGGACCAAGGTTTGTGTTTAATTACATTGTATACATTTGATCCCGTTATTTTCGGTTTCACATAGTAATTTTGCTAGCGCACTAAAGAACTTTCCATGACGTACCCACGGCGTGTTGTCACCACGTACGTGTGTTGCGTCTCCCTTTGGTTGGTGAGTAGACAGGCGTGCATCTGACGTTGGCGTGTTGTCATTTTGGCGGGTAGTCTTTTCCGTATGAATGAAAATGAATGAGCAAATCCCGATTGCGTTATTATGGTATTACTACCAACATAAACATATAATCTCCTCCTCTCCCCACGTACTTCCACAACTCATTTTCTGCTCGTTCTGGCGGGGGTTTTCTTCTGTTTTTTTCTTCTTCTTCAATGGTATGTATGCCTAACTTCCTGTAATTGGTCCGAAAGTCCGAACCATCCAAAAAGTGTTTTCATACTGTAAATGAACCGAACCATGGTTCAGTTTGATCCGGACCGAGACCACCTCTTTAGTTCGGACCAAATTTTGGTCTTTTGATCTGGACCCTGGTCTGTGGCACCTTTCTCACCTACAATTTTGGTTTGGACCAAACTGAAAAGTCCGAAGGTCCGGACCAAATGAGGTTTGTGTGAAAACGCCCTAAATTAATTGGGTATTTAGGACCAGTGGGTTATATTATGATTAATTACCAGTAAGAATTGTAGATAAAAATTAAAGAAGAAGATGAAGATGACGAAAGATATAAAGGTAAATTATAATATAAGTATGGGGTATTATGGGGTACCTGGTTTCTCATTACCTACTGTATAATCATGTGGTACAATAATATATTTGTTGTGGAAAAATGGTTTAAAATACTGACAATTTGAAGAATCAGGGGTTGGCTTTTTAAATGCAGGCCACCTACTAAATAACTGGGGTACTGGGGTAATAGGGAACAAAACACAAAGCTATGGCTAGAGAGGGTATTGAAAAATGTAAATGGTTTGATGTTTGTTTTTAAAATAAATGTATATTACAAAAGAAATTGTAGTTTCTGTGGTATATGATTAAATTCAGGCATTGATTTGAAACAGGCTTATAAGATTTCCCCAGTTTTTATATTTTATTAAGAGGTGTCTCTGTTTTCTGACTTTGTGTTGTTCCCTTTTTTCTGTTTGCCGTGAATGCAAACTCAGCAGTTCTCATGTGTTTACATATCGTTTTGATAAATTCAGAATAACATGCATTCCTTCAGCACTGATTCCATCAGAAAAAGTAAAGGGAGGGAAAACTGTGTTTCTAATAAAAAGAGAAACTGGGAGCAGCAGAGTGGTGAATGCATGGCTGGATCAACCTGTTACACAATGTCTACACAGCACAATGTGTATTACCAGCTCCTATTAATTGCTGCATTATTGCAGCATAGCACTGTTTGAATGTCCAGAATTATTTATGTTTTACAGAATTTTCTAAATACCTAATTAATATTAGTCTGTGGTAATTCTATAAAAAGCTTACTAATCATATGCACCCTGCAAATAACAAAATAAACTAAAAAAGCTATTTTAATTAGATTTTGATACAGGTTCCCTCAGTACAATACATTAAAAACATTAACTCAAAGTAAGGTCCTGGCCTTATATTGAACTTTAGTGGTGCAAAATAAAAACTACTGAAATGCTATGAATATGGCCTGGAGCCTGGAACAGTTGGTTATCCAGCCTTGGGAGAACACAATACCTTTCTTGAATGTTACCACCATGTCCCCCTAACCTATTTGCTCGTATTTACGTATTTGTACTGGTACCAGTAAGAATTTTGTCTGTGCTCTATACAACAGCTGTATATTACAAAATGTACAACATGAATGTAATTTACGAGCATTCCTGGGTCTTATATAATATGACTTTTTAATTTACCCTTTCCTGAGATTAATGAATTAAATTCTGATTTAAGTACTTTCATCATTTTTAGCCTCAGTCCTACTGTGGAGGCTATAAAAAGTGCCAAAGCACGTACACTTTTAAACTTCCCATTCTAACATACAGTGTGTGGTGCATAGTCAAAACCAAGAGTTGAATTTGCAGTTGGCTGTGTTACTCCACCTTTGATTCACTGTTGTGCTGGACTCACCCACTGAGCTTCACAGCTTGACGGACTCCATCTCATTTCTTACAAATGGAAACACAAACTAGTGCCTGTGTGGCTTTCAAACTGTGTAGCTTTCATTTTCCTTGATCAAACAAGCTAAATTTGTCGGTGTCGCCCGTGTTGCTATCAAAGCTGAGCCACAGAAAAGAACACGGGGCAGAGGAAATGAAACAGACAGATCCTCACCTCCAGTTAATCAAATGACCCAAGTCCATAGAAGACAAAAAAGTTGCTTCACTGTTGGATCCAGTAAAGATGTGAATCACATCTATGACTTTCTCATCATCCAAGTAAACACACACAATCTCTTTGTCAGATTAGGCCTTGACATCTCATAGGGGCTGGTAATCAGCTTAAAGGATAATACCACCATTATTGAGTTTTTCCTTATCTCCAGTGGCTAGTGATCTCCTGCATCCACCCTAACGATTTCACTTCACTCTCTGCAAATTGGAATGAACTTATTTTATTGCTCCCGTTGCCTCCCGAGTGCATCAAAAGTGGAGACTTAATATTTTGTAGTTATCCACAAGAGTGAATGTGATGAAAGTAAGTAAAAT